AGGATGCGCTGCCATGAATGCTACAAGTACAACATGCTCTCAGCAAATGAGGGAATTGCCATAGCAAAGGTGAAACTCAAAGGGTAAAAGAATATTTTGATGACTGTTAAGGAAAACCAAACGTGTGCGATAATTGTTTTTAATCACGTATGCAAGATAATGATGTAGGCAGCACCCAATGTTGTAGTTTCAGATCAATAAAAAAATATTTTATTTTGTTTTCATGCAAAGATAGATATATATGTTGCTTTCATCAATGGACACAAATTTTGTAGTTTTTGTTTTACTTGCATTTGAAAATAAGACTATTTCTCTAAGCAGTAGTTGACTTCAAAGCATTCCCTAACATGCCTATTGAATTGTACCATTGAAATTTTAAATTTGAAAGAGTAATAAGATTTTATAAAAATATCTATATTTCATAGGCATGTACCACATGTGTACACATCGTGATTCTGAGAAGTACAGCGTGTACATATATGGCGCACATCGCGGCCAACGTGTTAATTTTAATTATATAATTTCTGATATTTTTCATTCTTCAAGCAGCATACATATTATTTTGGTATAAAAATTTTTTTAGACATATATAAACACTAAAATTTGGAATGCCACTATGCTAGACAAAATTATTCAAAATTACATATAATAATGTAAATAACTACCTTAGCGAGTTCTAATAACTATCCCAAAAATTTAGGGCAAAATATATTATTTAACATCATTTTCACACAAGAAATTGGGCTAAGACCATGTCACCATACCATAGTAAAGGGTAAAATTACCTGCAACTTTTTGGTCTTAGTAAATTAGTCTATACTACCTAGCATAGTGGCAAAGCAGAGAGTTTTTTAGACTCTCCCTCAAGTTCATTTTTGAGTCCTATAAGTAGACCAGTAAAGTATCATGGATACCAGCATTATCTTACATAAGAAATTGGTTTAAGTCTTGAGTAAATGAGGAAATTAAAAATGAGTTGATTCTAAAAAAAATCTCTGGTTTGTCACTATGCAGTACCTAGCCTAGTCACTTGACTGAAGAGTGAAGAGTTTCTGCAAGCAGGCTAAATTCTATGAACAATGGGCAGCTTATCAATGCAAGTTTAATCAAGCTAGCTCACTAGTTTGATCCAAAACATGAGTTATATATTTAACTATTCCCTTTTAATTACCATTTATAATTCCTATATTTATCAATTATTATATAAACTCTACGGTCTACCCCTGATCGGAATTGAATGTGAGAAGTTCAAGTTGTGTTGCTCCGGGAGTCTGGGTCCCAGCATTGAAGAAATTTTCACAAAACTGCTTACATAACTGGCTTGTTGGAGGATGCGTTTGTTATCATCCAGAGAGACGTAGGTACTTTGTATAATAGTATACATATAGCTAGCTTCAAGCCTTCAAATTCCAATTATTACATCTCTTGAGCTTATCGACTCCAAGCGAATGGCCTGTCGCTCCAAGGAATTAAATTGTGTTAAGAATTAAGGACTTGTATACCCTCATTGGAGGTAGAGGTAAATTTCAAGTCTCGAAGAATAATTCTTAGCATTACGCAACTCGAAACACGGGCAAATCGACTTATCAAATAAGAGGTGAAGTTCGCAGGGCAGGACATATGAAAGTCGACCACACACGCCGCAAATCGGTGTTTACGTTCGCCATAGTCCAAGTTCTACTGCCGCTGGAGCGTCTTTCCCAGGAAAGATTGGTGCAATTGAGTTTATTCATATGTATAATAAATTTAAAAATCACAGGAAACCGATCAAGTACATCTAGGCTCTTATTTTTTGAAAACTTACCTCAAATTGCTCGACGCATCTCGCACGTCATTAAGCAATATTAACCATAATTCGACCATCGACCCAGCTTTCAATATTTGGGTGCAAACTCACTATAAGCGACAAACACCAAAGTCTTCAACACACGGATTGTATTTCAATCTATCATTATAAATTCTCAACCAGAGCCAAAATAAATAAATTTCATGCTGCCATTGGAAATTGTGTGAAAATTTGTTGCATTATAACTCTTTATCATTAAAAGAATTAACCAACTAAAACTCTCTTCAACTTTTCATTCAAGCAATATTTCGAAAATTACAAATAACGACACAAATTGTTAAATTTTTAGACATTTTTAAATTTGTCTTGATTTAAATGTAAATGTTCGACTACAACATTCTAAGAAATATACATAAATTTAGAGATTTATATATAAGTGCATATTTTTAAACTATGCGCGCATATTACAGCATTTAAGAAAAAAAACGAAATTTTATTTCCAGATATAAGAAATTTACTAAATTTGCATTCAAATGTCTCCAAAAACTCAGAATTATTCATATTCAAATTTTTGTTTTCTCTATTCATAATTGCAAAACAGAAAATGATTTTATGAAAAACTTCTGCAAATGTTTTCACGTATGAGGTTATTAAATTTCCACGTGCAATTTTCCTGTTTGGTTTTGACCTTCTACAGTCTATTGTCCTGTCCTTGCTCTGAGTGGGTAATGGTTCGTGTACATATACTGCAGGTTCTGGTGCGTTATAATGACCTACTTTAATTCTTTCTGAAGTTTTTTTTTTTTGCTCTCAATTGCTTTATTACTCGTCGTCGTCAGCAGGCCTTTTTTTCGGGTTTTAAGGCTGTGATACTTCACTGTGATGTAACCTTCCCATTTCATCAACCTAACTTAACCTAAACCTGCAGTAAATTTTCCCTTCCATACCCGGTCTGACGTACCTCGGCTAGTGTTCTGCGACTCACCAACCCCCACCTCACAGGGCAGGGACCATGTTAGCAAAACATCGCAGGTACATGTAACCATAGGTGAACGTTGATGTTCAACTATGACCACAATATATAAGGTTGACCCACGCTCGTAGTTCTCAGTTCAATCATGCACGTAATGACTTACGTGTTGGTTTGGTGCTGCCAAATAAACGGCGGGACTCCAAGTCTCCAACTGATCACTGCGCAACTTGATGTTCCAAGCAGTCGATGTAGAACTGTTCTCTGCACGTTCCCGCTTAATCCTTATTCCTGATTCACTCATCTTTTNCATTATCATATTTAATAAATTGGTTAAAATCTTGAGTGAATAGAAAATTTAAAATGAAATGATTCTAAAAAATCTCTAGTTTGTCACTATGATCACAGCACATGCCAAACCTTCTAATATAAGTGCCTCCCTCATCAGCAACTTCTCACAGCTGAAGAATAGATTTAATTTATTATTAATAACAATTTTTTTTACATATTTTGAACACCACCGGCGTCCCTTCAAAATTTGGTAGTTGCTTAATTTTGTTTATTTTGTTTATAAGTGACAACTCCTATTCCAATCTAATTTGTAGCTTTACTGTTCTTCACGTGAACGAAACTTACTTGTTATTGACTGCATCCTCCAATGAGTGGGTGCACATTGCACAATCACTTGCACACTCAAGGGCAATCCTAAAAAATATAACTCAGTACTCACTGCAGTGAGTGACAAAGAGCGCATTTTCTCGTCAATGAAACTTGAGTTCACGGACGGACGGACGGACAGACAGACAGACAGACAGACGGACGGACATGGCGAGCATAATAGTGCATTTTTTCCAAATGAGAAAATGCGCTAAAAAGACTATATTGCTCGAGGATTAGGTGGCAGCCTTTCAGGGTCTTGCCATTGATTGGTTGCAGCCTTGTAGTGTCGGTTGTATTTATCGCCAATAATACATCAGTTATTCCATGTTGATCTAACGTAAGATTTCAAATTCTTCAGAAACAATCATTTCATTACGAAACTCAACGCCATGCCAACATCTCACGGGGAACGTATTAATTGTGCTAAGATCACAGCGCTTTTTGCTCTCAAAACTTAATGTGAAGAAAGGCTGGCAGAGGAATAAAAATCAGAAAAATATTGTAACCGCAAACTCAGAGAGGTTTCGTCATCTGCTCTTGTGTAATTTTTCAAATAAATTTATTTTGCGCCAACTAACATCGAACGCTTATAAACTGTAGAATCATACTCTTTATTTTTGACTACGGTAATGAAATCATCAGTTTGATCAAATTAATCAATTTAAAAATGAACTCTGAAGCACGATAATTCCAACTACTTTTCCCGGCTCTTGGATAACTCTTTGCATTGCATCTTCATTCCTGGATGTTTCAAAAATAAATGGAAATCAATTCGAGATGAGCGATATAAATTTACTCGATATAGCGACTCCACAGGTCTTCAAGAAAAATTAATCATGTGATAGGAATATTGTAGCCTTTCTTGCATTTATCATGAGTATAAAATTCCATGAATATTAATTGCTGCAATTTTTTGTTGTTGCTCCACATTGGGATAATCTAAACTTCATCTCTGGACAAGATGTTTTAGAAAAAATTTTAAGTATAATGTCTCATTCGTCTGTTCTTAACATCATTATCTGCCGTTGATAGATATAAAAGTTAGTAGAAGGAAAAAAAGAGTGTTGAAGCGTTCCCCCATTACCATTATTATTTTAAAAATGTAATTTATTGCACATTACATAAGCAAATCAAGTTCATAAGACTTATGACGATTACCGTCGAACTTCTATTTTCAGAAGCTGACGCGATTGACTGGTATACACTGGACAATTCTCAGTAATTCTTAAAGAAAGGACATTTTTGTTTAATAAAAGAAAACGTATCGAAAACCGCGAAAATACAATAAATGCAAAATCACCATTTAGAAAATCAAGATTAATTATTAACGCGACCAAAAATCCATGCATGAAAATTTTATAAAATTGGCTTGTAGTTCTACTATAAGCAATTTATAATTTAGTTACCACCCTAAAATTTGATAGGAACCATAGCTTTTCAGGTAAATCTAAGGATTTGACATTGTTCAGGGAATCTAGTTGGATTTGACATTGAAATAGGCACTGATGACTCCGATTCAATTTTTTTTAGTCTCTCGTGTCCAATTTTCATCATTAAATGTCGATTTCGTTGGCTGGCGGCTCACTCGGCGTAGTCGCCCAGCTGGATGTGATAGCGCTGGTTGAGCTCACGTACAAAGATCTGGAAGGAAATTGTCGTTTAAACTCCAAAATATTTCAAGATTTTTCGTAAACAAACCCACAAATTGTCCGTGTAGCAAACAGATGTATGCAGTCGAATGATCATGTTGTATATTGATGATGAAAGCAACTACAGCATATTTAGAATATTTAGCAATGTTTCTCGCTGAGCGCGCGAGGAGCTCATCAGCTTCAAATCCTTGTTGCAGAGTTGACGTAACGACTGACTTATCCTTCATGACCGATCTCTTTTGCTCGCGCTTCAAAAAAGTTACATAATGAGTTTGATATAGTAATAATAATAATAATAATAATAATCCATGTTGGTAACTGGAAGGGTCATCTGAGAGCATGCAGACGGGCGGGAATTTGAAAGATGAGCTGGCCAATGTTTTTATCTCTCTCTTCGCCCATTTTTTTGGTCATTAGCAATAAAAGCCACGACGGCGAACGCGTGATATTCTCCGTGACTCACGACCGTGACTGTCAGTGGCGGGAACAAAAATTTTAGACCCGCCCTCTTGGACGAATCGCGTCCAGCTCCATACCCACATGCATGCTTTCCTCTATAGAGGATTTTCCAGGAAATTGATGATTAATTATAAATGCATGAGAAAATGTAGTCCCGGATGACCGCGCGAAATCCATAATTTTGCTAAGCCGATCTTTGATCCATCCGTGATGAGGCTTGCACCAAATTTACTGATTCAAGTTAACTTGGCCATAAATTCGAGCGATTTTTGTATGTCTTCAAACTTTTAGCAGAAAAAACCGCCAAAAAAACATAATAAGCAGCATCCTTAACGACAAAAAATATTGTGGAATAAATGAAGAACAGCAGAAAAAATTAATAACAAAACAATTTTAGTTTTTTATGTAAAGAAGGCAGATCAAAATTATAAAAAAACAGCGCCTAATTTGTTGTTTGATAGCATGTTTTATGTTCAAAATAATATGTCGAGGTATCAATTTGTTTCAAGTGGCACATTACAAGCCGTATGAATTTTCGTTTAGTTTTTTTTGTTTATTCAATCAACAACCCAATTTAATGTTTGTTTTGCTTGTTGTGCGTCAGAAAATTTCAATAATTGCATTCGCCAATCGGCTATAAGTGGAGACAGGGACTGAAAAGAACTCCTCCAATAAAAGAGTTAGTTCGAGCGACTGACAGTCACTTATACAAGTGCACGATTGAGCATTGCGTGTTAGTCGCCGAAGCACTTTCGTCTCGGTGAAAAATTGTTAAAAATGGTCGGTAATGGCAAAAACCTTTGCTCAAAGTCTGTTGAAAAAAAAAACATGGAAAAATTGATGAGGTTTCCCCTAATGGAAAATATGAATTTTACCGGCATCTACACTATGTTCGATTAAGAAAATTCCTTGAAGTCAACTTGCATTCGAAAGTTAGTGTTGTAACGAAGATACGTTAAACGTTCGACCCTCAATATATTGTTCAACCCATTGTCGTTTTGAGGTTTGCGATGTAGGATTCAAGCAGATCCTATTTTGACTGCGTTTTAGGATTTAGCTCATGGAGCTGGTAGCTGGATAGGGCATTCTGACTGACTCGCACTCGACAGTAACTCATACAAAAATAGCCACCAAATTACCGAAACCCGACCAGTAAAACTCTGGGTTAGATAGTGATTTTCAATGCTCACGTATGTCAAGTAACATTATGATTGCATAAGAACGTAAAGGCAAATAAAATCTAGTGCGTCATGGAAATCGCTGAATGAGGGAGTCAACGCTCCATCTAATGACAAGCCAGTCAGTGTTTCAGCGATGCGTAAGACAACGAACTTGAACTCCGTAACGTAATACAACAATAACTTTAACACGTTGAGTGCGGCACAACCCACCGGTGGGTAGCAGGGTCTTTTTTCCGGACAAACTCCGCAATATAGTATTTTTTCATAGCGTCTGTCGACAAAAATTTCTGATGGCTGGACTACCTTATTAAATTTAAAAAGTACGGAAAAAAGGAAAAGTTAACATTTGCTCCGGAACCTACAAATGTAATAGTATATTTTTAATCATAGGCCTTTTTAACTGCGGACTTGGCGGCCGTTTTTAGGCCAGCTGGCAGGCGCCGGTGGGTCGTGCTGCACTCAATGTGTTAATAAACAAGAATGGCTCTGTTGGAAGCGACATCATCGAAGAGTTTAACGGAACCGGCCAATACCAAAATCCGAGCCAATACCAAAATCCGACACATCGGCAAGTGGGCCCAGTGGTTACAGTTCAGGATACAGAGTATCGCTCTGTGCGATGGTAGTGGCCAGAATAGGCTAGGAGGCGGGACGGTTAAGCACACCAAGATTTGAGCACTGAGTTGCGTGTTCGAGACCGCAGCAAGCTGGTAATGTTCTTCGATGTTAGGAATCGACGACAGGCCTACGGCTTAATGAAGGCTGGAACCACTAGTACCATTACTATAGTTTCATTTTAGAGGAGAAACTACCCGGTTCACGGCGGTCTACGGTTATAACATATTTTCTTGGTGTGATATACATACATTGTTTACATTTATCTGTTTCAAGGAATTTACCTTCACTTGAGGTATAGGGTGCATATTATTTTTTTCGAACTTGTATTATTAAACTTAACACAAAAACTTCCCAACGAAATGTATTATAAATTACTGATTGGTGCAATAGTAGGTTAAAATTTGATTTTGAATTCATTAACGTGTGATCTGCATTGATTTTTTATCTAGAATGCTATTAAAATTCAATCTACAGAGACCAAGATAACGCAGCGAGTCTGTTTAGAGTCGGTCAATAGTGAAACAAAGAACTCAAGTTAATATTTGTTAACAAATCGTCTCTGCACGCAAATGGCACATTAAAACTCATAACCAATTACTTATAGCGCGAATTAAATAGTGATTTAGAAAACTTTTCCTATCAAAAGATGAAGGCGAATTACAGAAGAATTAATAATAACTTAAAACATTGACAACCCCAGCAAATTATAATAAAATATAAGATATTTTATAAATCTTGGATACAGATCATGCATTATTCCTATATGGAACGGGTATACCCATTTTTCACATGAATTAAAAAACGGCCTTAAAATTAAATTTCTGAGCGCATAGTTCCATGTGAATATCAATGAAACTTTCCTCGTAACAAATTATGTACATCAACTGGCTTGACAACAAATAGTTCGTCGAGAGTTAGCCGCACAAATTTCGCACCGAAAAAACATGAACTCGTTCGTAAATCACTGTGTAGAATGAAGGTGAGGGAAATGCAGTTGTATTTTAATGTAGAATATATGATTATGTGAGAGCAGTTTTGATCATTGTTTTGCATCGGTAAAACGTTTGCTAAATAACCGGAGAAAGTTAAATTAATATGAAAAACGGTATTTTGAACGAGTGCGAAAACCTACACGTTATGAAATGTCAGAGCGATCACCAATTCTGAGACTAAACATGTTATTAAATTTTAAAACGTATCATACGAAGCCAAATGGACTTCAATTCAAGTGAAACATGTAAAGTTATTCTAATATTATGTTTTCGTATGGATGATAAGAGAAAAGATCGTGCCTTTTAATAACCAAGATTAGAGCGGTATTTATCAGTAAATTAGAAACTGCCTGATTTTTAACGAAGATTGTGTCGAAGAATAAATTTGAAGCATATTTTAATTTGACCTCCCGAAAATCAATAAAAAATATAACTCAGAACTCACTGCAGTGAGTGACAGAAAGCGCATTTTCTCGTCAACGAAAACTTGAGGTCACGGACGGACGGACAAACGAATGCCAGGACGTGCTGACGAATGCCAGGACGTGCTGACTGAGGGATAATGCGGCCGGCTAGTGCATTTAAGGGGAGCACGCAACATATATGGAGCCAATGTTCGACAAGGTCGAGCCAAATTTTGACCGGAAAAAGTTGTTACGAAATGACAGGCTAGGCTGAGTAGCAACAGTCTTAGATTCGGCACGTTATGAGTTGTTGTGCTGTTGTTGTGATGTGTTTAAAGGTTTAGAAATTCACTTAAGTATTTAACTACATCAAAATGAGCAAAATATTAAGCATATATTCTAATACTTTACTTGGACTTCCTAGTTCCCGAATTTTACTTCCTTATATTGAGTGTAGTTTTTATTTATTGTATTATTTACTCAAACACGATTCTAATAGAGACGATAATGAAGCACAATATCAATGCTAGTTATTCCAACCCTGTTTAACAAGTATGCCATCTGCATTTCAGAGATGGTGCGTCCTGCGAAACGCCTCATCTTGCCTTTCGGCAAATGATTATTTAACGTAAATTAATTTTAAAATTATAACTTGCCAATAGATTCATTCGGACGTATTATATGAACTCATTCCTAACTATGCACTACAAAATTCTAAAACAAGAGATAACAATCTGGCGACCCCCGTAAACTGAAGATAAATTATAAACACTTACGATTTAGAGATTACGCTGTTGGCCACACTGTTCGAAAAAACTGCCGTAAAATAGCGTGTTGCCGTTTATTTTGTAATTTTAACTCAAGGAACCCGTACCACATTTGGAAAAAGGCGAAACGGGTTATTATCACGTACCGGGTCTGCCGGCCCCTTGAACGATTTTTCCCCATATATTTCGAAATTGTAAAATTTTAGGTTTATTTTTTTTAATTATTTCAATAAAATTATTGTATAAAATATAACTACATGACTGCGTTGTAATGTAAAGGAGCTCTACTCGTTCATATACGAGCAAACTCTTGCTCATATACAGCGGATTCCCTGAAATTTGCGGTTCACGCACTGGCTCACAATTAAAAAACGATCTGCTCACTGAGCCGATCCTGCTCATGCTTAATCATGAAGACATTATGATGAATTTACTGCAACAAGGGGCCTCTTAGAGGAGTCATTGTGAGGCGTGGGAATAATGGTATGATAACCATGTTGATAAAGCGCGTATCAGGGTTAATTATATTATATTAGACCTCTCTTCTACACTATTTTAAATATCATCGACACAAACGTATAGTCACGCGAAAAATCTTCTTGTTGAATTTACCTCGCTTTCATCCATGCAATGGATTATAGTAATAGACTGTTATTTTCTTCAAATAAACTGTCATACAAACTTGTACTTTAAAGTATATATACAGACTACGTGCATACATCTTACTCTTAATTAGCTAGATACGAAAACACTGCAACAATCAATTCTATTCTTATAAGCGAGAAATGTTTTTCACGCAAATTGATACTTACATTAGTAGAAGTTTCTTCCTAATTGTTTCATCGAAAAATGTAAATTCATGTTACAGATCAAGATTGGCTCGTGGAGCAATGAAATGTTATATGTAATTATCCTAGACCAGACATCATATAGTAACCGTGACTCAACAACTTAAGTCATAGCTAACAACAAATTTGTTTAAATATAGGAAGCATTGTACAGTTGAGTTCATAAGCACTTAGTTCGAAAACACAAATAATAATTATAAGTACAAAATAAGTACATCTGCCGGTTAAGATTGGTTCGGCGAATCAGGAGCAGAATTTACATTTTCAATTTGATGATTCTCGATCTTTTTATCTTCCGTCTTTGTGTGGGTTTTCTGGCCGAAGGCTGACATAGCGTCTTCGTCCTTCAATTGGATGTGGTAGCGCTGGTAGAGCTCGCGTACAAAAATCTGAGAAGAAATGTCTTAGCGTAAATGAAAAAATAAAAGACCTAACTTCATCGTTTATCCAGGCCAAACTCATTTGTGTCACAAACAGCCATCTGCACCAATGCTTTGTTGTTCAATATTTATGATGGCCAAACTCTGCCACTTTCAAAACTTTGATGCGAGTATTCGCTCACGAAACATGCGAGAAAAAATAGTGCAATGTTTCAACTTTAAATTCACAATTATATTGTGGTGTAGGATGCACAACAGACTCAGATAGGCAGGTTTGCCGTTCCAATTGACGCTGTATATATGTCAACCTGATCCGCAATACTGATTCCTACAACTATTCCTACATGCGGATCATAATTGCACCTTGCAAAAAAACGAGGGCTTGAACATATCATCAATGTTGTTCAAGGATCATAAAAATTAATATGATTATCCAACTGTTATCAGTAGCGATTCCTTTTACTGCACTGTCCCTTCGTATTTAAGATTCTAGAGAAAAGAACTACAAGAAGATAGAAATTATTCGTATGACCTACCCACTACCGATGCTAATTGTGCGTGCACTTAGTAGGCTGACCATCAATAATATTACTCATCATGTCTTCAGTAAACAGCTCTTGAAACCATGAATAAAAACCCATCAAATTCAGCTCACCTTGTAAAAATTCCTTCATTTTCTAAAGAACAAATGCACTTGAAAATTCCCAAGAAACCGGATATTAAATTTGCTTCAAGTTTTAGGAAACGCACGTGCGCAAGCTTCATTGCATGTGCTGCTAAAAGACTCACGTTAAAACGGCCGCTGTTCTCGGCGATTTGCTTTCTGCGCGTCTTGGTGTGCGTGCGCTTGGTCTGGAAGCCGCGGTGTGTCAAGAAGGCGCCGTCCAGCATCAACCACGAGTAGCCCGCCAGCCTCATCTCGTATACCTGATCACAGATTATTTTCGTACATTCTTTCCGTTCAATTTACATCCATATAACGATTTACGTGATGAAAGTCAAAAGATCATTTCAAACGGCAGACAAGAAAGTAGCGTTTTAAGCTCCATGAGCAATTTTTCTCAGAGTGATATATAGGGTTGCTGAAAGGAATATAGGCATATCTATAGTCAACTAACAAAACTCTGTGTAGATCGGTTATAGATAAAGAATTAAATACTATGTTTTACTTACAACATATTTAAAACAGACCCAATCTTTAGAATAATTCTTTTCTCTGTGTCTTTGAAATTTTCTACGTGCAGAGTTCGTTTGAGCAGCGAAGCTAGAAGCAAAGCCTAAAAACAGTTCAGCGGCACCACAAACCTGGCTGTTGCGAGTGAAACCGTAGCCGATGAACCTCTCTTCGAAAGCTGGCACCTTGGCATTGGTCACGTAGATGGGTTCCCAGTGACGCTTCCACGTGGTTATGTTGTAAGCAATATTTAACGACCCATCCGTACTCGGTACAGTCTCCCAATATGAGAGATTTGAGTTGGCTTGGTTGTTCTTGAAGACTCTGATGTGGAACTGCTGCGCTAGTCCCTTGCTCCTGAGTTTCACTAGCTCCTCTTTTGAAGTAGGATTTGCTGGAGCCCTAATTGATATCTCGTACGTGGGAATGATGAACGCACATTTATGGCAATTAGCTATATTTGGCCTCGCTAAGAATTCATTCAGTTGCTCCGACATGCTTGGAATGGAAAGCATGTCTATGTCAGGGGTGAAACTGAATGTGTTCTGGCAAGCATGCCTGGCCGTATTTCGCATTAAATTCTGAGGATAACGGGATACCCCTAGAATTTTCTTTAATTCTGGTGTTCGGAATAAATTTTTCAATTCATTATTAACATCTTCATGTCGCTGGCAATCATATTCTAATAACTTGGATGTGTTTAGAACGGGAGGCATAATGCCTGGGTATACCAGGTGGAATGAAACTCGCTCCCTGACCTCGGGAAAGCAAGTTCTCATGTACTGAATCATTAGTTTAGCAACTATGAAATCCACATCTGGTGCAAAGACAGCAATGGAAACCGGGCCTTGCCATGTTTTGACTTGTTCTACGACCCAGAACAGCAAATCTGCTGAGCATTGCGAAGACATGCACACTTCCCAACGCCGTAATTCATCCCACTTGGAGGATTTAATGATGAATGGGTGAACTTTGAAAACACGTGACTTGTCCCAAAGTCCGGTCGACAAATCGATTTCAAATTGTTTTATCAGCTTCTTTTCTCTAGTTTGGTCTTCGGTCTCTTTATAATCCCCTTCAGCAATGTATTCATCCTGTAAAATGGAGGTTGCGAGGAATTACAATGAATATTCACACATGTTTTGAGTTTTTTTCCTCCACAAAACAATAAAAATCATAAATAAATCTTGATACCTTGAACTCCTGATGCCATACTGAAAAACTAGTGTTTTTCCTTCAGAGTTCGTTGAAAAATAATTAAAGTTGTATGAATATTTTTTAGACATAACAACTAAGCTAGCTGACAAAGAACGTTTATAACGATAAGTCATGCATTTCAGCCCAGGTCACTTAAATAACAACACAATAAGAAATTAGGAGGTGCTGTACAAGAAATGGACCTAAAGTACTTATTTTTCACGTCTGCAGCGCACACCCGCCCAGCACATGTATGTAACAGACGCATTATTGCGTTTGTTTCATGTGCATGTCAATTGCGATGAGCTGCTTTACAAAGTTTCATCAATGTTTTGACACGCAAGCCTTTCATTCACTTCCCAAGTCCAAAATCCTTCGGAAATGTTTTCAGAAAGTATTTTCTTAATTCGAAAAATGCCGTTAAGAGTAATGGTTGCAGGAAATGACGTGCGATGCACCTAATTTCGATAACAGATGGAAGAATCCCGTTAACACTATTAATCTATCTAGAAATGCATGGATCTGATCGGTGCTATGTATATCGTCTGTTGGTTAACGTTTGTTCACCTCGAGGAGCGACTTAGGAGGGCCCACAGTGACGTATTTTTCTTTGACTGCCGAAGGCGTCGTCAGCATAAAAATGATGTTCATGAAGATGATGGCTGACACGTTGAGCAGCAGCAACACGACGGCTAGCTTCAAACAATACCGCAGGTTCATGATGTCCTGAAACTATATCATGTATCTTATTAATCCATATATCCAGGAGATCCATATATTTTGTGTAGTGTTGGACATGAGCGAGCTTCATAAGTCTTTCTCCTCTGCGTGGTCATTAAACTGAAATGAAAAAAAAATATTGCTGCAATTATGACAGAGCTCCATATATAAAACACACCATGCAGAGAGACACGGAACTCCACAGCACGTGATGGAAAGACTTCGTCGGTATGAATAGATTATATGACATAGGATCAATATATAAATATGAAGAAACTTCAATTCTCATTGAAATCTCAGTTCACGAGTCCTTTTAATTGTGGTTCTTTAGATGAATACCAACTAATGGACTGAATATAGACCTGAAGCTACTGCATCACTGCAGAGAATGAGTGCATATGGGTCTCATCAAACCGGCTGTACTTTAAATGGATCACGACCATGGAAATTATAGGCATAGTTTTTTATTCATGCTTTAGAATAAGGATGATCTCATTAGCATCTATTATATAGTGCTGCGATGTTTGACGATCAATGAAGTAATAGTGCTAAGTAATAGAAGAAGATCGATAATGATGTATCAAAATTGGGAAAAGGCTGTTGTTCGAGACTGGAACTATTCAAAACGCAGAAGATAGGACTCACCTTCAAGACTCTCGATTATTGTCATCGTTAACCAATAAATAAATGTGAAATAAGTTCGTTCTGCAGGAATATCTGACTAAGTGTTAGTTCTACATTTTACAGCATCTCGTAACTGAGGAAATTCTTATAAAAACAAATTTTAAAGTATCTTGAAACGCACCAACCTAATTCTAGGTAAATTTCAATTATATTAATAATAATAATAATAATAATAATCATAATAAGGGACGAAAACTAGTGGCTTTACCCAATTTTTCAAATTTCTCCTTCAAACGAAAATTTTTCATGCGCTAATATGAATTTTGCAATTAAGTGTAAAAAACAATGCACTTAATTGTTAGGTGGTTACAGGATAGAACCTATTCATCTGTTTAGTTAAGCATAAAATAAATTAGTGATGAACTTCAGTTATTGTCATTTAATACCAGATATACGGCGCATTTGTTTTAAATATTAATGAGGTGTGTAATATAAATGGTACTCAGCTCTCAACGGAAACAAAAATATTACGATTCCTAAAATAAAACACATGAAAGGTACTATTAAGTTTATGAACGATCGTGACAAGTTGTACACGCTCAATGCGTACTGAATTTTGTAGGTTCAAAGTTGCAGATTTGATATATACAAAAAAATTTCATCCACAATTCTGTCTATACGATCTCTCATATTAATTTATTAAAGGTTGCATACCAAAAGTTGCAGATTTGAAATAAACAAAAAAGTTCAACCACAATTCTGTATCTACGATCTCTTATATTAAAGGTTGCATACCAAAAGTATTCAACCTAAATGCTCAATGTTGCCTAATATATATACGAATATATAAATACTCGATGTTGAATAATCAATGTTCAACACTCAATGTTATATAGATAATGTTGCACACTTTATATTGTAGAGTCAGTGTTCCACACTCAATGCTACATAATCAATGTTTTATACTCAATGTTCGATAGATAATGTTGCATAATCAATATTGCAGAGTCAATGTTTCACACTCCAGGCCGCATAATCAATGTTCCATATTCAATGTTCGGTAGATAATGTTGCATAATCAATATTGTAGAGCCAATGTTCCATACTCGGAGTCACATACTCAATTTTGCCTGCTCAATGTTCCATACTCACGCAATAATGCGAAATTTTACACTCGAAGTTCCCTATTAAACGTTGCATTACCAGAATCCCTAGGCCGGCAGCTTCTCCCTGCAACGTCGAGGATAATATCGAAGGCGGTCCATGCATGCACCTCATATGTGACAGACACTCTAAACTGGAGCACTCAATATTCGTCATCAATTAATCAAAGAACAGAAATTTTCCTGGTTCAGAGGAGCTGGGAAATGCATTATTAACACAGACATTTCAGTACCCGAAGTTATAGCCATTCAAGCTCTATTTCCAAGATTATTTTATCTCCGCCACAATTCCACAAGTGATCTCCACGCATTTCCAACAAAGCACTCACTTTTATAAATCACCAAAAGCACGAGGACTAACGAGTCGGAACACGAAATGACATAGCCTGAAGCAAACTAAAGTAATTTGAGATGCAAATAACAAACTATTCTTGTCCTTGATGAATAATTGAAAGAACAAAACGACTCAGGGGATAAACTCCGCATGACTTGTTGACACCGCTCGACTACATGGTAGCCGAGGCTGAATTAGCGAGGCGGTCAAGGCACTCCGTATACGAGAGATAACTTTATCAGATAGTATAGCCTCGCGTTACATGATTACGAGTGAACACTCTACTACGTCACCGCTGTTAGAAGAGTCCAACCTGCAATGTTGGTGATCACGTGCTCTTGTTCACCAAATAGTTAACAATGCTTTCGTAAGAGTATTTCACTTTGTTGGGCCCACGAATTGTTAAGATTAACAGAAATAAAAAGTCTGATTCTCAATGACTTTGTATTCAAAATTAAAAGTTTATTGTTAATTGTTTTTATAATTGAAGAAAGATTCAAACGCCTAAGGTTTGAAATAATCTACACGACCAAAAGGACGTAAACTAACGGATGAGTTACCAGTCTATTAATGACAAATTAATTATTTAGATAAAGAAGTACATGAGAATGGCGAGATGACTTGATGAAATTAGGTTGGGGGTTCTAAATGTATTGATACTTCGTAACGATAATAATGGAGATGAATGAATTTCAAGGTCAACTATGCAATTCGATAGTATTAATTATCATCATTTCAGTGATAACTTATCAACACTAAGAAAAGAATGTGACACGAATGTGTGTGAAAAAGGTTGAGATTAATGTTACGGGACGCCCGGCCTGATAAAATAAAATGTGGCTCATCTGCAACCGTAAAGTTTAGGATTTAGAGACCATATATTCGCGAATTAATGTATAGACAAAACCTTATAACAGTTGCAGTAATACAATTATTACAACTTACATCATGCAATGCATTAAGGTAATACAAATTATTACAACTTACAGCATGCAAGGATCACAAAAGTCTATCACATAACATTTGGGCCCAAATTGTCATTATTCATTATTTTAATGAAGAATGCCTTTAAAATTAACCTGAAGATAAAACATCAGATGCGTCCCTCGGCGAAAGGAACAATATCTTGTACAGGTCTTATATTTTCCACGAATTGCAGCGAGCAAGAACATGTGTGTGATAAATCACAAACCCAGATACTCACACAATGATTTGAACGGATGAGTTCCAAGAACAAAATTTGCTCACCGTGCACATGATGAATGTCTTGCAGAAGAAATAAGGAATGTATTAATGTCTCCTGGAGATATTTCAGCATGAAGAACTTGTGCAACTTCCACGCCACCGTGTGCAGTGATGCTTGATGGAGAAACGATGGATAGGAATGCGGCAGTTCGAGCAGAACTCGATACCTGTACCAAACACAGATAATTTTTTTTTATTATAATGACCTGTCAAACCTAAACTACAGAAATAACTTCTAATGCCTCAGTAATGAAAAACAAAAACATGTATGTGCGCTTAGACATAGATAAGAGCTGATGACGTAATATTCAGTCTCTCATCATCAAAACAGATACGTTTCCGTCTAAACTTCATGTAATACCCATGTTCATTATGTACTTTGAATAACATTGCAATAAGAAAATTTGAGCAATTAACGAGCTAACTTAGAGTGTCATTAAAAATTTCGTGTTTCCCTCAGTATATATGGCTGAATTGATGTATTTAAAACTGGTTAGTTTAGCGAAAATTTTAATAGTTATTCATAGGAATACTGTGAACTATTCATATTAATAGTATGAGCTTCTCATAACAATAGTTTGAGCTGTTCATAATAATCTTTATCCTCACGCGAAAATTGAAGTAATGGCCATCTTAGTAGAAGCAAACTATACGAGCATGAGAGCCTGGTCACTTTAGGTCCCAGCATGAGAGCCAGGTCGCTTCAGGTCCCAGCATGAGAGCCTGGTCACTTCAGGTCCCAGCGCACTTCAAGAAGAAGCGCGGTCAAAACAAATAATCAGTCTTCATAATGAATAACATAAGCCAAATTTTCCCATTCAGACAAAACAACGGCAGGAAACGACAAGTAACAATGAAAATATTAATAGAAGCCCTTCAACGTCGTGCGATTAATTTAGTTTAAAATTAACTCGCTGAACCAAAACACGTTCAGATCGATGGTGAGAATGACAAACATGCATCGAAGTTTTTGCTACGTCACGATGATGAAGTGAATAATTCATATTTTGAAAAATAATCACGTGTAAATCCTCGGTTGTAATAAGAAGAGCGTGTTACCGTTCCCTGTTAAATTAGTAAGCACACGTTACCACATGCAAATTTACTCACCCAATTTTATCATTCATTGAGAAATTGTACCTTATGTTCAAGATTATGGAATCAAATGCACAAAAATATGTTTTCATCAACGATCAGCCTCTCATTTTAGCAAATTAAAGAGCAGAGAGCAGTTGCCGGCGGGCAGAAGTGGCACTGCGATGTAGTATCACACAACTCAGTGTACATGCACTCCTCTGTTCCGCTGGCCCAGCACTGATTGCAGCTAACGAGATCCTCGTGTGACGTTCAGCTACTTACTACGCCACTAACTACACTAATGTAAACCATCAACCCATTAATTACAATTAAGAATTAAGCGCTTGATATTGAAAGCCTATTCTATTCCTGTAGACAGCTACCGGACCCACTATGAATCATCGTCAAGACAATCCACAACGATTAAAGATTTTTTGACTTACCTCAGATGCGATTAGTTTGTGCCTGTGCATACTGTAGTCTCAGAGTGCGGGAATGTTTCTAAAGTTTTGTGAGGGGACGAATTCATTCACAGCAAGCTATTCGTAACGATCCAGTCGTCTAAAGTTATACATTAAATTGAAATGAAAATATCGTTCATTTTTTTCTGCAATTAAAAGTTTAATGTTAGTGAAGACGGGAAACAATTAATGGAAACAGACTACAATGAATGTGTGGAGAAAATTCATACAACGATCACGTAATTATTCATTAAAGACTACAACATGAAAAAATGAATAATATTCCGTAGAGGCTCAAATGATTATAATATATATGATAATTTATTAGAAGAACTCAATAGGCATGTCAGCCTACTTATATACGGAGATTGCCGTAGAGGTCTCCGTTGAATAAAACATTTTGAAAGTGTAAGAAATAATTCAACATTCGGCCACCGTCATCGTAGTTAGTCTCGTGATAGATTGATTTACAAAAGAACTAACTATCAAATTATGTGCAAGTGTATAAGCATTCAAATTACCATAATTGATTGAAATATGCCTCATATTTAGGAGGTATGATTGATAGGCTTGAAGACAAAGTTTTCATTTGTGTTTACAATTTTCAAGTATTTTCTTATTTCACTCAAAAAAAAGTAACCTGGAAAATTATGAGTCTCTTCACAGGCAGTTATCTACAGAATTGTCCATCCTTCATAATGATAAGCATTACATTTTACTGAGTTTTCTCGCCATACATGGCCCCGACGGAAGTTGTGCCTAAGAACAATTAGTCTAAGGACTAATTAATTAATTAAAATAATCGAATTCAATCTTGACGCAGCATGGCTACATCCTGCCCATAGTCTTCCTAGTGACCATCGACAATCATGAAAAGAACTACCATGCATAACATCATTGGCATTCAGTAGACC